GTCGTTTTGAAACGACATATCTCCAACGCTCTAAAAACAACATTTTTACAAGAAAATTTTGCAAAAATACCAGGCGAACAGAAATGACTAGCAGGTAGATGCACAGAAAATTTCCGTGGAGATATGTCGTTTCAAAACGACATAACTCCACCAAGATAATGGTTATGTGGGATTATGTCGTTTTGAAACGACATATCTCCACCGCTCTAAAAACAACATTTTTACAAGAAATTTCGCAAAAATACCAGGCGAACAGAAATGACTAGCACGTAGATGCACAGAAAATTTCCGCGGAGATATGTCGTTTCAAAACGACATAACTCCGCCATGATAATGGTTATGTGGGATTATGTCGTTTTGAAACGACATATCTCCAACGCTCTAAAAACAACATTTTTACAAGAAAATTTTGCAAAAATACCAGGCGAACAGAAATGACTAGCAGGTAGATGCACAGAAAATTTCCGTGGAGATATGTCGTTTCAAAACGACATAACTCCACCAAGATAATGGTTATGTGGGATTATGTCGTTTTGAAACGACATATCTCCACCGCTCTAAAAACAACATTTTTATAATAAATTTTATGTATTTTACATGAAAGATATGTCGTTTCAAAACGGCACAACTCCGCCATGATAATAGTTATGTGGGATTATGTCGTTTTGAAACGACATATCTCCACCGCTCTAAAAACAACATTTTTACAAGAAATTTCGCAAAAATACCAGGCGAACAGAAATGACTAGCACGTAGATGCACAGAAAATTTCCGCGGAGATATGTCGTTTCAAAACGACATAACTCCGCCATGATAATGGTTATGTGGGATTATGTCGTTTTGAAACGACATATCTCCAACGCTCTAAAAACAACATTTTTACAATAAATTTTATGTATTTTACAAGAAAGATATGTCGTTTCAAAACGGCATAACTCCGTCATGATAATAGTTATGTGGGATTATGTCGTTTCGAAACGACATATCTCCGCCGCTCTAAAAACAACATTTTTACAAGAAATTTTGCAAAAATACCAGGCGAACAGAAATGACTAGCAGGTAGATGCACAGAAAATTTCCGCGGAGATATGTCGTTTCAAAACGGCATAACTCCGCCATGATAATAGTTATGTGGGATTATGTCGTTTCGAAACGACATATCTCCGCCGCTCTAAAAACAACATTTTTACAATAAATTTAGCAAAAATACCAGGCGAACAGAAATGACTAGCACGTAGATGCACAGAAAATTTCCGCGGAGATATGTCGTTTCAAAACGAACAGAAATGACTAGCACGTAGATGCACAGAAAATTTCCGCGGAGATATGTCGTTTCAAAACGACATAACTCCGCCATGATAATGGTTATGTGGGATTATGTCGTTTTGAAACGACATAACCCCACAGAAATTTTCTGTGCATCTACCTGCTAGTCATTTCTGTTCGCCTAGTATTTTTGCAAAATTTCTTGTAAAAATGTTGTAATTAGAGCGGTGGAGATATGTCGTTTCAAAACGACATAATCCCACATAACCACGATCATGGCGGAGTTATGTCGTTTTGAAACGACATATCTTCGCCTGGTATTTTTGCGAAATTTGTTGTAAAAATGTTGTTTTTAGAGCGGCGGAGATATGTCGTTTCAAAACGACATAATCAGCGCCATGATCAGCGGCGGAGTTATTAATGAAAAATTGCATTGCATACCCACAAGCTGCAAAAATAAGCAGTTAATCTTGCCGTGTTGTTGTTTTGTATTTCGATTATACGGCAAAAACCATTAAAAAACAATTTAAAGTTTAGCACACGCCATTTGACTTCGTCGTTTTGTGGCACACGGCAGCAGCTATATAAGTATAAGAAAAAGAAATAAATATGTTTTCGTTCATATCTATCCATGTGTTGTTAAATTGCTAAATTATGATTGTACAGGCTCTACACTTAATACAAAAAAAAATTTTGGTAATATTATGCTGCATTATTTATAAAATACATTCTCTGTTCATTTCAGTCACTTTGGCAGACTTTGCATCAGGTAGAATTAATTCGACTGCCGCAGGATTGTTGGTTGGCTGCTAAACCATGACAAGCAACTGATGCGCAACAGACCGTAAGTGTTTGCCTGCCCCATGGACTACACTGAAATTTACTTAAGAGACACACACACACTCACACGTACACGTGTGTTCTGCCAAATAAGCCTTCGGGCACAGCGTAGTCTATGCCACATTGCGCATACGCAGCGTGGCCTCTGTGTGTGCTGCGTGCTTTTCTATTGTTGTTGTTGTTGTATTTTTGCTTGTACTTCCCGACTGCTGCCGTGCAGACAATTAAAATCTGGCAGCATTTTACTTGTAAGCCGCTTAATAGGACTGCGAAGTCCTTTTCGCACAGCTGCAGCATCAAATGCGACCCGAAAATGTGTTCATGCGTGAGCATCACACACGTACACGCACACACACATGCCCACGGGTCACAGGCCATGGTTCAGGCGGAGGGGGGGTTCAATTCGGTGCTGTATGCGAGCGTGTTAACTCAAGCTAGACAAAGTGCATGGCCAAAGTTGAGAGCGAACCGGCTAAATTATGGCTTAAACTTTGCTTTATAGCAAATCGCATGCTACCTGCCTTTGCTCTACAATGCGCAAATTAAAGCCAGACTTAAAGTCTTGTTATAATACTGGCAATTTCTGTTCTATTTAATTTGAAAAGTGGCCCAAATGTTGGTGCAAAAGGCAAAGATTGCGCCTTGGGCAAATCGCTTGAAATGAGCTTATCGGCGACCACATTGCATAATTCCAACTGAGTGCGCAAAGACAGATGTTAATTTAAAATGAAATACTTTGAACTATTCAACTTGTGCAAATATTTTATCATCCAACAAGGCGACATTTATGATTGTCGCTTATAGCCAAGCAAGCAGCCAGACCAAAAGCTAAACCACAAGTATTCTGACCAAGCCTGCGCTCCTTCCGTCTCTCTGTTGTCCCTTTGTCTCTGTTTGCATTGCTCTGTGTGTGTGAGTGTGTATGTGTGTGTGTGTGTGTGTGTGTTTAGCTGCAGGGCATCCATTTGCTGGGAAACACAGTTGGATATTTGCTGCTGCTGCTGCTGCTTGGTGTCTGTCTTGGTCGTATGTCTATGTTATCAGGCGAGCAGGTCAAGCGCAAAGGTGAGAAATAACAAAATTTCAAATTTGGATTCGGGCATTTCAGCTGCTGCACTAGGATTATTGGGTTAATTTGCACACCCTATTCTATCCATATCCCTTTGCCCAGGCAACCTACACTCCATCTATTTGAGACACACACACACACAGGCACACATTTGCTTGCCCCATGCAAGACAAATACCAGGCTACAAATTCGTATTTCCATTTGAACACTTTTATGCTTGTGGCAGTTGCCAGTTGCCAGTTGGCAGTCGTATATTCAAATTCAAACATTTTGCCAAAGATAAGTCCACACTTTGTTAAACTAAAATTGAATTCCTTTTGCTGCTTGACAAATACAAAACGTAATTATTTGTGCATGGGCAGTAAGATAAGCATTATTAAAACTACAGATTTATATGAATACAGACGTTGGCAAATTTTAATTGCAAATTTTAAGCAATTTATTGGCCTTGGACCAATGGCATTTGCACAACGAATTAGTCTTGCGTATCAGTCTAGGGTATTGAAACGTTATCCATACTCAATTGAGCACACAGCTGTTCAGATCAAAGGATTTCATTTTTCAATAGTTGGTCGAACGACTAAAGCTGTGAAGCTTTATGATATCTAAGAGCCCAAGCTTTCCGAGATCACACTTTATTATAGACTGTAGAGATTGTATCTGAATAGGCATTCATTTCTCTTGAGATCAGACTTCATTTGAAACTGTTGAAACTGTATTTTCTATTGTATATCCAAGAGCCAAATACTTTCAGCAGATTATGTTTTATTATCTAGTCTTAAAAAAATGAATAATTGGCCAAGTGTCACACAAGGATTTCAGTGAGTAAATAAGATGAAAATCTTATAAAATAGAGTGTAGCAATAGTTCGTCCTCATAAAAAACTCACTCTTTACATAAATTTAACCTAGATAATTGTCTCTTATTTGGCGGTCGTGAGATTTGAACCCTGCACTTCGTTCTCAGTGTGTCAATGCCTAGTTCACCATGCTACTGACCTGACGCATCACATCCTGTAAAATAATTGATCTTGTATTTTATTTGAAAAAATAATCAAAAAAAAGGGAACATTTAAATATAAATATATGATATCTTATATTTGACTACGCATGCATTTTTTAAATATTATTATTATTCAAATTAAATATAAATTATTATTTCAAGTGCTCGTCAACTGAAATTTCGACTGACGCTTGTTCTCCCCGCTCCCAAACCAATTTCATTTTTCATAAGTGATTAGCCTTACTCTTCCCGGGCCGAAAGTTGGTCTCAATGGACCGTTGGATTTTAGTTAAATGAATAATTTTAAGCGCATATTTTGCGAAACTCTGAGTTTAGTTGGCGACTCTGCCTGGGACGCCTCATGTTTGAGCAACTCATTTGCGCTTGAAGCGCATTTTTCGCACCAAAAAATTAAGCCAAATTATGCTTGATTCAGTGGCTCGGAAAATTAATTATGTGCACCTATTATTATTATTATTATTGTTGTGCTTGTGCACTTGGCCAGCGGCTTCCGGTTTTCCGCACTGCGGCGACAAATTAAAATTCATATGATATTAATATTTCTTTTGGTCTTGTTTTAGCCATGCTTTATGCATTTTAAGTATAATTTCTCTACATTTTTTCATCATATTCGCTAAGCGGCTTAAAGCTGCCAAATGGCTAAAGCAAGTGCAGCTGCTGACTCATACGTTGTGTACACTCAGTTATTTATTGTTGGCACAAATTTTGAGGACAAAGCAGGCCTTGATTTTCAACTTTGTCGAAATTTTGGGGTGGTAGTCTGTAGGGCCCTATAAGATTCATTTTAGTGTTGCTTGTCTTACTGAGCACAGATCCTTAAAAAAAATAACAGTTAAAACAAAAATTCCATAAAATTTTTTTCAATTATTTCAAATTCTCGTGCAGTGTAAATTAAATCGTGTATAATTGTGTTTTTTCTTGTTCTCGTACTGTTATTGAAAAATAAGTAAATATGCCTGCTTATCGTGAACTCCGTCTGTTGAGATCTGCACGTCGCGTGCTCAGCTACGAGCACCGTCTACGTGCTGTCCGCGCCTACTCCTCAAAGTGCGACAAGCCGAAAGGCGTGGTCGTTGGTGTCTACCAGAAGGATGGCGACAAACCGCTGAAGTCTTCGGAGAATGGTGTCTTGCTGGACGATGCTGTCGGTGGCAAGATTATGAGCCTGATCCGGGAGCGCGGCATGGACGGACGTCCCGGCAGGGGCCTGCTTTTCAATGGCTTGGACGGAGAGTTCCAAACGGTTGCCGTCGTAGGCATGGGTCCCGCTGGTGCTGGCTATAACGAGGCAGAGGAACTGGACGAGGGTATGGAAAATACTCGCATTGCGGCCGGAACTGGAGCGCGTGCCCTGCAACTACATCGCATGACCGAGGTGCACGTCGACGGCATGGACTTCCCCGAACAAGCTGCCGAGGGTGCTGCGCTCGCCGTATGGCGCTACAATGCCAACAAGCGCAAGAAGAACCGTCTGCCCACACCCAAACTGCACATGTATGGCAAGGGCGATCATGACGCTTGGGTCCGTGGTCTGTTCAAGGCCGAATCCCAGAATCTGGCGCGTCGTCTTTCCGATACACCGGCTAATCAGATGACCCCTTCCATTTTCGCGCAAGCAACTGTCGATGCACTGTGCCCCTGCGGCGTCTCTGTGGAAGTGCGATCGATGGACTGGATAGAGGACATGAGCCTGAACTCCTTCCTAATGATTGCCAAGGGCTCCTGCGAGCCACCTCTCCTACTCGAGTGCACCTACTGCGGCACATCGCCCGAAGACAAGGCCGTGCTGATGTTGGGCCAGGGTCTGACCTTCCACAGTGGCGGCCTCTGCCTTAAGAGGAAAGACGGCATGGACCAATACCGCGGATCCATGGCTGGAGCTGCCGTCTGCGTGGGCGTTCTCCGCGCCGCCGCCGCCCTTTCGCTGCCCATGAACATCTCGGCGGTGATGCCCCTGTGCGAACACATGCCATCCGGCATGGCAGTTAAATGCGGCGATGTGGTGACTCTGCTGAACGGCGTCACACTTGGCATTAAAAATGTGGACAAGGCGCCGGTGGTTATGCTGGCAGATCCTTTGCTGTACGCGCAAGCAAACTTCAAGCCCAAGATGATTGTCAGCATTGGCACAATCGGCCAGGGTGTCAACCAGGGACTCGGAGGCAGTGCTACCGGTCTCTGGAGTAACTCTAGCTATGTGGCCAAGGAATTCCGCAAGGCGGGCAGCATCACCGGAGATCGAATCTGGCGCATGCCACTCTTCCGCTACTTCAGACAGATAGTCACCAAGAACTCTACCTATGACATGAGCAACTCTGGACGCGGACCAGCCTCCTCCAGTCTGGCAGCTGCCGTTCTGCACACACTGGTGCCCTGCCTCGACTGGGCTCATCTTGACATCCGCGGCACTGGCATGTTGACCTCTGTCAACACCCTGCCCTATTTACTCAAGAACAGTATGACTGGTCGTCCAACACGCACAGTCATCCAGTTCATGTACCAATTAGCCTGCTCGCAAAATTAGGCACAGAATGGCCGATTTTTTTTTTGGTTAAAAAGTAATATTTTCGAAATGTATGTTTGGAACAAGTGTATTAAATGGATTACTTTGCGCGAGTGAAGTATGCGACACAGTTAACGACACAATTTTTTTTTCTTTGTACATTGTAAATATTCGAATTAAGAATTACGTAGAAGGCCAATTTGCATTTTGTTATTTAGGACAGACCATCTTGAAGAGGAAGTAAAATAAATCAAATAATAATATAAAAAGGGAAATGTATATGCGCTTTCTTCGACACAACCACAACCTTATTTCTGCATGTAAATTTTCGAAACGTATTTTTACAATATTATTAATGCATAAAAAGATTTAAAATAGTTGTAATATTAAATTGACTCTGGTTACACAAGCCCATGAGCTGTGTTACTTTTGCAATTTATTTGAGTATTTCTTAAGCTTATTTATTTAGAATTTTACAATTTGTTTTTCCGCCGCTTGTCAACCTTGCTGCAGCTGTCAGTCTACCTGTCTGTCCGTCTGATAGTCTGTGCTGTCATTTTCAATTACGCAACAGACAATTTGCAGAGTCGAAGATGAAGATGAAGATGTGTGTGCAGGTGTTGATTGAAGCGCAAATCGAATTTACGACCATAAACGTTCGGCTTTGCTTAGTCGCTTTCGACGACGCGCAAAAGTATGCAAAGTATATGTATCTGGCGTAGAGTGTGAGCGCGCGTGTGTGTGTGTGTGCGTGCGCACAGGGCTTGACAGCTCGATTTCTATTTTTGATTTGACGTTCTGCCAGACTAGCAGCCGTATAAATGTTGTCTGATTAGCGTGTGGCAGCAATTGATTTTCACATTTGATTGAGTGTCTTAAGCTGTGCCTGATCCCACACAGCTGTGCCTGCCATTTAGTGTATACGTGTGCCTGCGTGTGTGTGTGTGTCTGTGTTTGTGTTCGACTGCTAGCTTAACTCGACTTGCAGCTCTCATCAAGCTGCCAAAGCCAGCCAGCTTGCCGTTGATTGGTCTTTGATGCTCTCTGATGTTATTATTGACAATAAATTGTTTGGATTTTTGACAATGAAATTTCCTTAAAGCCGTTCGATCTATGACGTTTATTATCCCGACTTGATAACATGTGCTACCTACATATGTGCATATATGCATATGCATCCTTTAGCTTCGTATTTGTTCTACGCCCACGCAGTCATGCACATAACATTAGAGCTAATCACAATCGAGGCACAGGCAACAAATGCCACATGCTTTGCTCAATATTTAATTTGCACACATACATGTGCATGTGTATTTGCAGATGCAGATTCGGGTGCACACTATTTGACTGCAAGCAGCTGGCAGTTGCCAAGGGTTTGCAGAGCCAGCGAAACAGTTGGAGCCCAACGCAAAGACGTTGTCCCTGCCACCAAAATTCCAAGCTGTGTGCTTGTGGCTAGGAGCATTTGTGCATAATCAAATTTAATCTCGCTTTCAAATGTCAAATCAGAAACTGCTTGATTACACTTTGAATGTGGGATTCCGGTGCGCGGCTGACTGGCTGGTTGGCTGGCTGGCTGACTGGCGGCCTCCACCGCAGGCAAATATACAAACTGAAGGTTTTATTTATTTAATGACTTGGCTGTTGCTCACCTTGGACAAATCTGGCTTACAAATTCATTTGCTACATTGATTAATTAATGCTAATTTACGAAAATTCCATTTGGCCATTAGCCGCAACCAGAGACACACAACACAAAGGTCCTGCGCCTGGTCTCCTACCTCTGTCTGCCTTCGTCTTCAGACTAACTGTGTGTTTAATTTACTGCCTTGGCAACACACCACAGACACACACACACACACGTATATACAAATGTATCCGCATGTTCAACAGCTTTCTATTCAAGATATGTATGCCTAACTCACAGGCGACTCTTGTTTCTGTATAACTCAATTTGGCAAATATTGACCGCTAAACTAATCAGGATTAAGACCCGGCAAACAAACAATTTTCATTTCAATCTGTGTCATGTCAAGCGTTTGCCAAAAACTTCATCGCTTAAACATTTATGTATGTTGTATTGGGCAAGCGGATAAACAGAGAGACAGGTAGGTAATTTCCATTAACTTTACAAAATTTCATCAGTTTTATAAATGTTTTAATCTTAATCTTTGAAATATGCCTTTCAGATCCCAGGATGATAATGGATAAATATCAGCAAAGGAAATCGGAGGAAGCAATCGATCATTTGACATACAATTTATCTCCGTTCGTAAGTCATTTTAATATATTTCGAATTTGCTGAAATAGTCCATTACTAAAATGGTTACTCAAATTACTGAATCGAGGATTTCTGCAGCTTACATACAAATGCGCAGAGCCATTATACCCTTTCAAACTCATTTCAAATGAGTACAGGGGATTAAAATAAATTAACATATGTATATTTCTGTTACTCTATCCACATAACCGTACCAGACCTTACCAAGTTTCTGTCATATATTCTTGATATTAATAATTTACCTTCACGATCTGCATTCTTCTTGCGCAATTATATGAGTTAGTTATAGTTATGTCCTGCAAGTTTTCAAGAGGATCGGCTGCAACTAGAAAAAAAAACTCGTGGAAAACTTGTGCACTTATACCAGACAACTATTAAATATAATTTATATAGATACTTATTTAGAATGGTTTAAATGTCAGGGTCTTATTGGCCATTTGGAGGGCATAAGGACATCAAGGGAGGCAAATTAAAAAACATACTCGCAAGCTGCTCACAATTGGCTCAAGGCGCATAAACGGCCACTGTTGCTGCTGCTGCTGGGTCTCCGTTTGGCCGGAGAGAAATGTACGGATTTTATTGCTTATTTGTTAAATGACTTGAAAAAGTTAATCAAGCGTGATTTTGATACGCCCCAGAGATAACGAATTATTGTTGGTATGAGGCGAGTCTTAGCATGCGAGCATGTTTCCTGGCTTGTTTGTTTGTCGCCGTGTATTGCGTTTGTTTCACCTCCCCCTCGGCACTTGGTTACACTCACGTGCATTTGCCAAACAAAAAAAAAAGAAAATTTCAATTTTGTTTGGTTTCTTGAAACAAGCTGTTGTGCTACATACGCGAAAGTATGTGTGCGGGCACTCTGGGCCCATAAACGTAACTGGCAAGCGAACACATATAGCAAATCGTCGACGACACCTGTCGACGCCATTTTATGAATTAATAAAGACGCCAAGACCCAATTCCTCTAGATGTATGTGGTGGGGTAGTTCCGAAATATTGGGGCCTGGCGTGGATTTTGTTTCTTTCATTTTGGTAATCTTAAAAGCAGCAACAAACAACAAACAGCGTCTGATTGTGCGTTCAGCTTATTAAACGCATTTTTACAGCACGCTTAACAAGAATTTTCACTTTATATGCAAACATGTGAAACACTATAAACAAAGGACGCCAATTTGCACACACACACACGCACACAACCATATAGAGTCACATGCGCCAGTTGTGCGAAAAATTTCCTTTCTATTAAATTTTACAGTAAACTGAATTTACACCCAAGCAAAAGCAACAAAAACAACAACAACATGAAGAACAGCGCGTTATTAAACAGCATGAAAATTGCCAGGACATTGAAATTGAAGGGGGAGCCCGCAGCCCGAAGCCCGGAGCCCAGATCCCAGAGCAGTGAGCAGTGAGCTCTTTTGGCCTCTCATATTGCCAATGCCAGAGACCGTGTTATAAACAAAATGGCACAAAATGGCGACACCTGCTGTTGCAAATTAGAAAAATAAGATGTTTCATAAAAAATGAAATGTCAGAGGCAAAATGCGGAAGGCGCACAACAGGTGAACCTGGCAGGGTGGCAGCCCAGCCGAGCAACAGCTGCGGGGGGTTCTGCTACATTAGCAAACAAAATTCGAAGCCAAAATATATTTGAAAATGAAATAATAACAAAACAAGCTGCCGACACGGATTTCGCTTTAATGTTGTTTTCCTCAAATTGTTCGTTGTGCCAAAATTGGGCTAAACACCGACAGGAACATTACTCAACAGGCAAAATAGGAAGAAAGAGCTAAAATAATGACAATGGCTGAATAATCAAATTGGGTATAAGAAATCATTAAATAAATAGATCAACTTTCATGATTTATTAACAAATTGTGCCGATTTTTGAAAATGCAGTATATGTGTATGAATGCGTATATATTTGTATGTATACGCATGTATGTATGTATCTACATATGTATGTATATAAGTGTGCAGGTATGAGCTTTTGTATTTTGGTGTGTATGAAAATAAGAATTTTATGTGCAGCCATTAAAGTATCCATGTATATGGATCTGTCTGTGTGTATATGTCTGTATGTATGTATAGCACAAATATGTAAACACATGTATGTAAGTATATGTGTATGTATGTTTGTAATATTGTCTGTAAGTATACAAGAATTTTGTACGAAGGCAAATAAGTATATATATATGTGAGTGTGTGTGTGTGTTTGTGTGTGCGTATGTAGGTGTGTGTGTGTGGGCGTGTGTGTGTTAGTGTATGCATGTATGTATGTATGCATTTATATATATATATATATGCATGCATGCTTGTTTTCTAATACCAAAAGCAGACCAAGCTTATTAGTCACTGTGCTGCAAATTTAAATAAAACGAACTTTTATCAAGTGCTCTCCTCCTCGATTCTCAAGAATTCAAGTAGGCTCTGCAGTTTTCCATGCCCAGCTAGTAGTTAGTGCTTTTTTTTTGGTGTTTTTTTTTGGATTTTTTTTTGGTGCTTTTTTTTGGTGTTTTTTTTTGGTGTTTTTTTTTTTGGTATTTTTTGGTATTTATTTGTATTTTTTTTTGTTTTTTTTTTTTTCATTTTAGTGTTTATTTTGTGTGTGTATGAACATACATATATGTCTATATATGTATATATGTATATGTGTATGTATGTTAATATGTATATATGAATATATATGTATATATGTATATATGTATATATGTATATATTTAAATATGTATATATGTATATATGTATATATGTATATATGTATATATGTATATATGTATATATGTATATATGTATATATGTATATATGTATATATGTATATATGTATATATGTATATATGTATATGTGTATATATGTATAT